CTGACAACACAAGGGGCCCCCGGGAAATATGAAATTATGGGGCCCCTTGTGCTCCGCCCATATACAAGCTCCTCCCACCCACACATCCCACCTGCATATACAGTACATTCTTGTATTACAGAAATTATTTCTACAAAATAGCAGGTCTATTCACTAAAAGGTAGATTGCAGGGGAATTGGTAGTAGAATTACAAAATCTAGACCAATATAGGCAATTTGGAAAGGGAGCTAAAATGGTAGAATTTTTCTGATTTGGCAATTTTGACCGAGATTCTTCAGTTCTGCCCATTATCCTGGGTAAATTGCAGGAGAATTGACAAGGAAACTGAACAGACCAGAGCGGGGTTTGAGCGCATATTACCCTGTGCCCCCCCCTCTGCATACAGTAAGGCCCCGAATGCTCCGCTCGCCCAAATGGACAGTCCACCCATGACCGGCACCAATGCACGGCAGACCTCAGACCGGCACCAATGCACGGCAGACCTCAGACCGGCACCAATGCACGGCAGACCTCCGACCGGCACCAATATCCCTTTCCTGCGTATTTGGGTTACTAAACGCTAATCTGATTACCTTTGTGTAAATGATTAAGTCAGGGAATGTACAAAAAAAAAATAACATGGGGAGAGGTGTCCCCGCCCCTTCCCATCTGCGGCGTCTGACACATTCAGCCGCACAAGCATCGCGGGAGGACAGGACACAGATCAGTGAGCTGATTGCAATCGACCTAATGGGTCTAGCACAAGGATAAAAATAAATACTTTATTTCCCAGTTAAACAAGCAGAGGCATTATCTAGGACGACCAATATCATATTGCGGTGTCAGCACAAAAGCCGGTGTGAAGATGACCTACCATCATGTATATAGCACCTACAAGCCAAGTGTGTGTATCACAGGAGAGCTAGTAATGGCTCCTCTCCACTCCTCTCTCTAGGCTTTGCTGCAGAACATTGGGCCGTTATTGGCCAAGCATCATGAGAAATGCAGGAAGCCCACAATGCATTGTACATGTGGATTGCCATTTATAGCTTACTGTACATACAAGTACTCTGTGCATTTTTGTGTGCTGTTTTCCAAAATAGAGCAGGGCCTATTTTTATGTATGTTGAGAGCCAGGGGCTGACTGACAACACAAGGGGCCCCCGGGAAATATGAAATTATGGGGCCCCTTGTGCTCCGCCCATATACAAGCTCCTCCCACCCACACATCCCACCTGCATATACAGTACATTCTTGTATTACAGAAATTATTTCTACAAAATAGCAGGTCTATTCACTAAAAGGTAGATTGCAGGGGAATTGGTAGTAGAATTACAAAATCTAGACCAATATAGGCAATTTGGAAAGGGAGCTAAAATGGTAGAATTTTTCTGATTTGGCAATTTTGACCGAGATTCTTCAGTTCTGCCCATTATCCTGGGTAAATTGCAGGAGAATTGACAAGGAAACTGAACAGACCAGAGCGGGGTTTGAGCGCATATTACCCTGTGCCCCCCCCTCTGCATACAGTAAGGCCCCGAATGCTCCGCTCGCCCAAATGGACAGTCCACCCATGACCGGCACCAATGCACGGCAGACCTCAGACCGGCACCAATGCACGGCAGACCTCAGACCGGCACCAATATCCCTTTCCTGCGTATTTGGGTTACTAAACGCTAATCTGATTACCTTTGTGTAAATGATTAAGTCAGGGAATGTACAAAAAAAAAAATCATTAGCTTACAAGAGTGACTCCAGCATAAATGCAATATCAGTAACTGCTAAAATTATTCAGGAAAAAATTGCTTGAAATGACACAAAAATGACTTTACATTAAAGTACAAATCTTTGTGTTCAAAGGAATACTATTATTTGTTCACACACAGTATGCTAATGTCACTAAGTATGCTGATTTGTTTTGTTATAGCCTAAAATTGTTCAGTTTATGCAGTTTGTAAGTATGATGAGGTTTCTAACAAGTTCACAAACATAACCATTGGTGGTATAATAAAATAGGTATAAATAAATATTAATAGTAGATTATCAACATGATTTAAAAGACTCTCCATGACTTTTTCAGGCCTTATTTAGTTTAAATTATCGGGAGGTATCAAGTAATATTTTTAACGCATATCGAGTGATTTAATCACCCTTCACCGATATATTGGCTGAGCTCGATGTCCACAATGCAGGCAAAATAATACAGCTAAATAGCATGCTCATGTTGGCCGCAGCGGGGATGCCCTTAATGCCCCCCTCTGTCGGGGCATGCCTAATACAGAGGGGGAGAACTCCAGGCTGGAGCAGGGGATGTCCTAGATGCCCCTCTGTCAGGGGCATGGGACTGGCATAAACATAACTTCTTCACTGCCAGAAGTGCTTGGGTTAAAACCCCCTCCTGCACTGGTGGGTGCATATGAAGAACGGGCCCCTCCCCAGAGGTGATCCTTCTCATACTCCCGCGACCACAAGGTTACGGAGGGCAACAAACATTTACCTTGTGCAATGCTGGCCAGGGGCAGCGCATAAGTTTAAATCCTCCAGGTGGGAGGGGGGGGGGCGTTTTAAAGAAAAAACCCTCACTGCGGTGAGCGAGGTTTGTGCCCTCATATGTAGTAATAGGAGTACACATAGCCAGTGTATATAAGTATATAGGGCATTACATGCCCTACCAGACCCCCTCTATTTATTAGTTCCAAGTTAAGCCGTTAACCCTCTTGGCACTAAAACATTTGAAACACATTTTATTAAAATTGTTCCTATAAAATAACGGGGCATCTTTACTAAGTGCACTTTTAAGTTAATCACCTGTGAGAAAGAAATATTTCATACTTACCATTAAGTAGTCTTCACCCCTCTTCAAATGGGCTACACGGCAAAAATAAAAAATAAATAAAAAATACTTGACTGCAAATACAATTTAACCTAGCAGCCTGACTGCTGGTAAAAATCTACATAAAAACTGGTTCCCTTAAGAGCTTTTATACAGACCTTAAGGCTTCAGCTTTCCTACCATCTGATTGGCTGGATACCAAATGATTGCCTGGGGGCATTAATGCTAAAATGCATATTTAAATGTTATTCGTAACAAGAGGGTTGACTGGCTCTCTGGGTGCTAATAAATAGAGGGGGCTGGTAGCCTCCCTCTAGCGGCTAGAATCAGACGTGGGGGGGGGTAACTTAGAAGAAGTAACCCTCATAATCTGAGATGTGATGGGGGGTCACTTAGGGAAAGTGCACATTGGCCCCACTATTTTTTAGGTTTGTCTAGTCTCTTCTTCGTATTTTTTTTAACCATTTTTAGCCAGGCCAATTCAAAGACCAGTTCGCTAGAAAGTCAAGTTCCTGATTTTTTTTCACGAGGGGTCCTACTACATATCCAGACAATGGCTTTAGGAGTATTGTGGGAAATGGAGTCCACAACATCTGGAATGGAAAAGGTTGCTTTACCCCCGGTCAGAGATTATTGAAGGCTGAATGGTTTATCTACAAGATTTAAAGGAGAATTATGAAGCGAGTGTTTTTCACTCAGCCTCATAATCTGAGCAGACCTGTGACAATGAAACTGTAGATCGGGAAGTTAGCGAACACATACCGTCGCTCACTTCTCGATCCTGTCACTGCTGAGAGCCGTGACAGGGGAGTGACTGGATTCCCCCCTCCCCTGTCCGATCCTCCAGCGCTGACTGGCGGGACGGACGAGGGAGGGGGCGGGTACAGCTGGCTCTGCCTTTAGATAGGCAGAGCCAGCTGTCACTCACGCAGCTGGGCGGATCCAGACATAATTGTCGGGATCCGCTTCAGCTGTGTCGTCTCAGTATACCCCGAGCTGTAGCTCGCGGTATACTGAGCTTTGGGTGGCGGGAGGACGCTAGTTTGTGTCCTCCCGTTACCCTGAGAACTATGGGGAAAAGCCCTAACCCTATAGTTCTCCTTTAAAGATTTTTTTTCTAAAAGATGTTCTACAAGCGACTTCGTGTACTTGATATGTGATTCACATGTTGCTCTGTGTGATTCTTTTCTTTTAACATGAACAGTAAATTAGGGTTAGTGAACTCCTATCAGATTACTTTGCAAAGTCTCATTGCCATTGTTCTCATTGTTCATGTAAATGATTAATTCAGGAAATATTACACAATATCAGTATAGTATATAAGAGTGTTTTCCTGTGAGCGTATCAGTAACTGCTAATCATATTCAGGAAATAAAGGTAAGCTTTCTGGTGACAGTGCTTGAGATGGTCCAAAAATGACTTTAATTATAGTAATCTTTGTGTTACAAGTAATACTATTATTTGTTCACATATATGCTAATGTGGCATAATTAGCTAATATCTCACTATTTGTGATAGCCTGAAATTGTCCATTGTATGCAGTGTGTATGTATGATGGGGTTTCTAACAAGTTCACAAACAACCTTTGGTGGTATAATACGGGAGGCATAAATAAACAGTGATAGTAGTTTTATCAAAATAATTTGATGTGATCGCATGCCTTAGAATTATGCACAGGGGGTGTTTTTTAGTTGGAAGATCTCACTGAGCCGGTCATTTGAAAAGTAGATCATAACACAAAGAAGTGGGCACCTCTGCCTTTAGGGGGACTGTTTTATATAGGGAAATACATTTACATTTATATAGAAAAATCTGTTGTTTTGTAAAGTTTATATGCAAATATACACAAGAAATTATCTGTATGACACAAGAATAGAGAAATCAAAAATAACTTTTATTGCACGTATATAAATAATAACTTATATTCCAGAGTTGTCGAGTCGCACTGGAAGATAATGCGACCGGCAATTTGTGACGTTTTCTCCTTGTATAGGAGGGTGTCTATGTGACAGACCCCCTCCGATAATTCCTTCATCTGCAGTTAAATATGTTAATCCCCCTCCTGCTGATTAGCAGGGAAGGGGCACACTGCCCGCTCAGCACTGCAATCATCGGAAGTGCTCCCCTCAGCGGGGCGGGCTTGCGATGTTCGCAAGTACGATCTGCAGGTCCAAGATGGGCAGATCGTACGAGATTTTAATTACCTTACAACCATCGCACAACGAAAGTCGTGCGATGGTTGTAAGGTGTATGGGCAGCTTAACATCCATGAGTGAATAAATATTACAAATTTCACAGTGAATATAAACTGTGACCATCAAAAATAACATCCGCAGTAAAAAAAGATTAATAAGGTTTCATTGGGAATATCAATGCTCTCAGGGTTGTCCCCTCTCATACCCTCACACTCATGGGAGTAAATAAACTTGAACCCATGCACTGCCACAGTGGTGGGTCAGCGTTTAAATATAAGTAGGAGGAAACCGAGTGCCCTTCTTATATTAATAGGTGGGAGGGGCACATGCTCACTTTACGCCTCCCTGTATATTTAAATAAATACGGGTGCCCAGTTTTCCCCCATATTTAATAATATGGGCACATGCCCAGAATGCCCCAATACAATATGCCCCATGTGACTCCCTATGTTTGAACCCCATATAATATATTAAATACCTGAGGTGTAATGGGGGGGGCATCACTTAGGGGAAGTAACCCCCCCAATTTGATATATTATGGGCTTGATTACAGAAGCCATAGCGCTCGAGTCCTTTAGCGAAGTTTCGAGCGTCTCGAAGAAAAGGATGCATGTTCTAAATAGGAAAATGCAGTTATTTTCTTAGTGACCCTCGAAACTTTGCTATACTTGAGCGTCGCGGCATGTGTAATTAACCCTATATTGGGGCACACATGGGTGATCACATTGAAGTATAAATAGGGGGGCCGATTAAGGCTCCCATTATAAATATATGTGGGCACACGGTCAGGGCCGGATTTACCCCTCTGCTGCCCATCGTTTCAATACCTCCCTCCAAGGAGACACCAATGGCTGCGTATTAGACATGAACTCCTCAGTTACCATAACCAATGGGATGTCCCCGTCTGCATACACATCATTGCTACTTAACCACATTTTCATTACTTTGAGCTGGTGGCACTACATCACCCAGCTGAACATTATCCGCCTTACGCTTTTCAGCAATGTCATTGTTAACCCTTGTACCTTCGACCAAAGGCAGTGGCATTATCAGATCATCCATATCTTGAGCCTTCGGCTCTGAAATTAACCCTTGCACTAACACATTACTGTGCTCCATCATACTGGCACCACAATTACCCTGGGGAATCTCTGGCTCCACACTCTTGAGCCCCTCTAAGATTTCCGAGGAGATTTCTGTTATACCCACCCTGGTAGCATACAATGCATTCTCATCCCGACATGCATTTTTAACACTTTTTACATCAACATTATCTTTTTCAACAGTAGTAATCTACAAATCCCCCTTTGGATTGAAAGAAAACACTACATTCTCAAAGGCATTTTTAACACTTAGCTCTCCTCCATAATCCTGTGTACGGAGTAGAGGCAAGTCTCTCATAGAATGTCACATGGGCCGCTCAACTGGCATTACTCTCATCTCACACACAAGGCTACAGTCAGTCTTTTTGAATACAGGACAAACAGTTCCAGCAAACAATTCAGCAATGTCAGTCTTACCACCCCTCTCAGGCACCGTGGTTAACTTCATTTGAGAGCGCTGGTTCTGCGTTGACTTTTTCCACTCATCTCTGACACCCCCTGTAGACTCCAAGGAACTTTCCCCTGCATTGCTAGGGACAGCTGCATCCACGTTAAGGTGCCCATACACCTGCCGATTATACGATAATCGCGGGTGATCCGGCGATCGTACAATAATGGGCAGGTGTATGGGCAGTGTGCGACCGTTTCTACTGTACGGTCACACGATTTTCGTCTTTTGAGCACGCACGGTTGGTGGCATGATTGGAAGACGAATGCCGCACGGGCCGGTGTGCGCAAACGCACACTGCCCACTCAGCATTGGAATCAGCGAGGAGGGCTTGCGATGATCGCAAGTACGATCTGCCTGTCCAAGATCGGCAGATCGTACGGATTTTTAATTACCTTACAACCATCGCATAACGAAAGTCGTGCGATGGTTGTAAGGTGTATGGCCAGCTTAAGCCTCATGGCTTATACTGGCAGGTTCGGACTCATGCCCACCAGTATCTCCAGTGGTACCCCACAGCACAGAGCACGTTACAAACGCACGCCCTTGTTGGCCACATTGCAGATATGGTGAAGGTTGTGGTGGACCCCACAGCTCAGGGCATGTCACCAGACACTCATGACCCCATCGGCCACATGCTGCACAAGGTACTGAACGATTTTTATCAAATGCGTTTCCCTCCTGGGAACTCCTGGCAGGTTGAAACTCACCAACAGGTTGAACATAACGCTGAGCTACATCACTGCAGCTTTTCACTCCTGGTGATACTTGCTGGCTCCTCTCTCCCTGTGTCTTTGCTCAGCCCTAGTCCTCTGCAGCGACCTACACAGCACATGGTCAGCAATCCTGCGTTCACTGATGTTGCTACCTACAACTGTGCCCCATGCTGAGCCTCTGTTCAGCCCCTCGCTCTCTCCAGGGAATCAGAGCGGGCTTCTCCACTATAGTAGCTGGGGTCAATGTTGCCAAATGCCGCTTCCACCAGTCCACAGCAGACTCACAACCTAGCACAGCTTTTTCTGGCACCTGTACAGCTCCCACAGGTGTTGACCACCAAACTCTTTTGACCATATTATCATAACAGTCCATTTCTTAGATCGCCTCATACTGGCAATGAGTATTGTGTAATCCACTGCACCTTTGCACACTACGTTCCACCATCCACAGAAAATTTTAGAGCACTCTCTCTTTAAGGACTTGCTTTTCTCCTGCAGGCCTTGAGTCACCTGCTTTACACAGCAAGCAATCTCTGCTGTCTCAACTACAGAAACACAGTTCACCAGAACTTCTTTTCCAGAGACTCCAGTCTCTACACACTCTGCCCTTTGTTGTCAGTTCTCTGCATTACGAACTTCTTCCATTTTCCTGGGTCCTGTACCTTTAAGGCCTCTGTGAGAGCATGGCCAGTACAACAGTGTATCCCACTTCCGACACCACTTGTAAGAAGGACACTCGATTGCAGTCAGGAAATGCAGTTAAACACAGTTTTATTAATGGCAAACACAAAGTCTCTTTCCATCAACAGGGTAGACTTCCCTTGTTAAACAAGACAGCTTCCAGCAGCAACATGAAGGACAGTCTTTGGTTCACAACATTCTCATAATAATCCGATTTTCTTCAGCATACACAGTCCTCAGCACACCTCTGTGCGCGGGCGGACCGACGGACCAACCAACCGATCGCTCTGGTCCAGACTCCTAATAAAGCTGCTCTCAGCCACCTGATCCACCTATACACCTGGCCCCAGGAATAGAGATCCCATCCTATTACAGTCTGGAAAACCTGGAAGGAACTTAAAAGCCAGTTTCTTCCCTGAAAAAGTCCTGGAACCCCTCAGCCGTTCTAACTGAGTGTTCTTGGGGACTGTGTTGCCAAATTACATTGTGGCATTGCCACCCTTCTACACGATATAATGTTTTTTTAAAGGATAAATAGAACCATATATTGTTTTTATCACATATGTGTGCTGAGTGCCTCACTTAGTATGAATAAAATACATGCATGAAGTTGGGAATGCAGAGAACTGACACCAAAGTGCAGAGTGTGTAGAGACTGGAGTCTCTGGAAAAGAAGTTCTGGTGAACTGTGTTTCTGTAGTTGAGACAGCAGAGATTGCTTGCTGTGTAAAGCAGGTGACTCAAGGCCTGCAGGAGAAAAGCAAGTCCTTAAAGAGAGAGTGCTCTAAAATTTTCTGTGGATGGTGGAACGTAGTGTGCAAAGGTGCAGTGGATTACACAATACTCATTGCCAGTATGAGGCGATCTAAGAAATGGACTGTTATGATAATATGGTCGAAAGAGTTTGATGGTCAACACCTGTGGGAGCTGTACAGGTGCCAGAAAAAGCTGTGCTAGGTTGTGAGTCTGCTGTGGACTGGTGGAAGCGAGGAAAATATCCCATTTTTGTTATAATTTTTGTTAAAACTCTGTCAACTAATATAAAATCAAAATTAATGTATTTGTTCAGATTTTGGGAACACCTCATATGTCTAGGATTTCAATTATTTTGGGGAATTTTAGATCTAACACTGCAAGGTAAAAGTTTGGCAAATTTTGAATTTTTAGTCTAAAACCTAACAGTAGTCACCAGGTTAAACAGGTGGCCGTACAATGTGCACAAGCTGTTTCTA